TATTTATTTGTAGGAATTAACAAGAAACAATTCTATGTTTCCTAATGCGACTAAAATTAATTTAATGATTGAAAGACAATCTCCTATGAGTTCATTAGACTTTCTTACTTCAATAATCAATGTTTCAAAATTGGTTGAAGTCAAATTAGAAAGTTATTGTTTCGACCACGATAATCAAAATCTTTTAGTTAAAATTATTTCTATTCTTAAACAAGCATATTCTCTTTCATCTTTGATAGTTCAAAGTCGTTATGGTAAATATCGATTATATCCATTTTTGAATCGTTTATGTTCAAAAATTCCACGTCAGACTAAATGTTTACAAATACCAATCAATCAATTAAATCAAATTGAAATCATTTTTGAACGATGTCAAAATTTGTCAGTTGTACGATTTGAAATAACACGTTCGAAATTTTCTCAACAGGTCATTGACTGGTTTAATCAGAACACTATGAATTCAACATTTCGAAGACATAATGGATGTGATATTGTATGGATTGGAAAGAAAATAAATCATATCAAAGATAGTCATAAACGAATTAAGTTGGATGAAAATCAATTTGATTCTTAATATATTTTATATATTTCATCATATTTGAATCAATAAATAAGCAAAAAATAATTTTCTAATTTATTAAATTCCAATTTTTAGTATTCTAAAAATGATTTCATATTCAAAGCTTGTCAGAAGACTTGCTCTAATTTATTTTCCTTGTGTATAAAAAGAAATATTTCATTTATTTGTTGTAGTGTGGGTCGCTATAATACCAATACCCACACCCTCTTTCTCCATTCACGAGAAACATGTATCAGCATAATGGTAAGTAATGTTGGCATAGGCGTCGTGATATTGTCATCGGCATAAATCCAAATACTGCAATCAAGTCCGATTGTCATAAATATTATTTGAACAATCGTGATTCAATCGCCTATTTTTGCATGATTTTGATGACATGGGTTCTTTTAATCATCTTTTATTTTGAAAATATTTATTAATAAATGAATTTTTTGGCAATGCTGCGTTATTGAATGAAATATTTTCGTAATAAATTAGACATCAATCCACACTAACATCCATATTTCAAACGATTCATCAAGCAATTTATGGTCAAACGAAATACACATACAGTCCATAGATTAACGAAAGATGTGCTAAGAAACGTTGGCAAATCAATAATTTAGAATTGAAATTAATTTTTATACCAATAATGAATGAAGTCTTGGATACTGATCCACCTACTCTAGATTTGAAATAGACTTAAAGTGATTGATTGTCATCCAACCAAAAGAAATATCACTTTTCGAAATCGAGAAAGATCTATCAGAATGTTGATCATTCACTAGAAAATAAATTCCACGAGAATCAAAGATTTCGTTCTCCTCTCGACAACAATCCATAAGCTGCCCTCTACTGCTAAATAAAGATGTGTATTTTCAAATAACACATGACTCTTAGATCGTTATGTGCCCGTTGTCTAGATGTTCTGTCTTCAACTTTTTACACACAATGGCTAGCATCATGCGTATGATATGAGCTCGAACAATTCGAAATCTTTGTGAACATCCCTAATCAGAAATCAATGATAACGCGTCGAAGTACGATGTTTCATCATTGTGACACATTGTCAAGTGAATTGGTAAATGAAATATTAAATTCTGATTTTAGTAAATCGGTTTTAGAGATCCTAGCATCTTTAAAGTATTACTATTTGTAATAAATTATACATTAATCAATAGAATTAATCAAGATGCGTTGAATGATGTAAGTTTTGTCCATTGCACATCCTGTGGTGTAAGTTTTGAGAGGATACATTTTGCGGTAGCGTATATATAAAGTTTTCGAGAACTTTTAATCGTGAAGTTCGTCTTGGTGGTTAGAAAATAAATATCAATCGATAAGCGCGTCAAACTGATTCGAATGCAAAAAGTTTTGCATGTGACTCAATTTGTAGAACGAATCGTCTGATGAAATACCTCGTAGGACTCTGTTGTGTATGAGTTCATAGTTTCTTTCTGGTTCGTCTAGAAAATTTGGATGAAGTTAAATAATTTTATTGAAAAATATTCGGTTATTGTATTCGAATTGATTCATAGACGATTAAAAATTAATTAGAAGTAGAAAACATACAAGATGAAACAAACTGATTTTTAATTTGGGGAATCAATTTGAAACCAAGAAATTAATTTGTTCCTCTTTGCATCTACTACATTGAACACACATATATGAGATGCTCGTCTGTATTCATTAGTAAATATAATGATGAGCAAACAGCACATTGGCATGGAAAAAGAAATAGCATACGAGAGGCATCCGGATGTTTTTTTTATTTATCTATGTTACTTGATGATGTTATTTAGTGCATAGAAACAAAAATTGCTGAGAGAAAGATTCTTTAACGTGAAAATTCTATTGGAACATAAAGGATATAAAAAGAAATTAGCACACTAGAGCTTTATTACAGTATAACCAGAGATAAACAATGTTATCTTTGTCACACAAATAATAAATATTGTACCATTGCGTGCTTTTCTCGATGCAGGCTCGATAAATTATTCTATTCACGTCTTGATAAATCGTTACATCCGATAGTTGTGACATCATATTGATGAAAGCTCGAGTCAAATCACTGAATGTATCAATTGACAGAGTGAGCCTTTCAACAGGAGTAAAAGAGTGATAGAAAGCATCAATCTCGCACAAAGTCAGTGGTTCACTGCAGTCAGGAATGCTCATTGACAATTCAAGACAAACAATGTTTGGTCAATGATGAACGAAGAGTAACTTGAGTAGAACAGTCGATAGTTGTAGTGAACGTAAACGATGCAAATTGTGCACAAAATTAATAATTACATCATTCGACATATTCGTATCGCGTCGAAAAACAGAAAATGACGTGACGTGTAGTAAATCAATATGTTTAGTAGCATAATCGAGCTTAAAGCTAAGACTAGTACTGCAACCTGCTAACGACATACACGTAATATGTGTAAATGAACGTAGAACTTTCATGTAGAGTCGATTATAATAGTCAGCCATTAAGTGATTGACACGAGAAAATGATGTGGATGTTCGTTCTATTGATGCAGTAACGATACCATCTTTCATATACAATAATGGCTAATCATCAAGACAATAAGGATTTGAATAAAATAATGTGAAACGAGTGTTTATACATCGATCATATGTCACATACCAATGTTTCTCTTCAAGCCAGAATGAAGTACGAAATGATGCGAAATCGATAGGTGGTTGCGTAAACGTATTCTTATCGAAGATAAATTTGAACTTGAACGTCATCATTGTTTTCAACAATCGGACCCACCAGTAGCCATCAGCCATATCATACTGTATATTATTGGCGACGATTGTAAAATTGACCAATTGTGTCATTGAATAGAATATATATTCGATTTCATCCAATGTAACAAATTTCACTTTTACGGTTATGTGACCCATTGTATGAGGCAAAGGTAGACGAATGTCAGATTTACATTGAAACAGATGAAGCGTTGTATCCAGTGCTTGCAATGCGGAATTCATTTCTAAGAGAGATTTCAACACAACACGCATACCTTTCAGAGACAGATGTTCGATCAACGATTTCTTTGTTACCGGACAAGAATCAACAATGAAAACGTCGTTACCTCTAATTCATACTTTCACAGAAAGGCGTTTCAGCGTACGAGAATTGTATAATAACTTGCGCAGCAACTCCGACACCATCGATACATATCTTTAAAGCTATAATACCATTGTATTGATCGGAGAATCTCAATGAGAGAATTTGCAATGATACATGAGGTAGATAAGTGCTGACTAATTCATCAGATTGTTCTTTTTTCTCAGCAGATGAAGTGAAGTTGAAGTGAAATCGTGGATAGGCGAGACAAACAACACGAAGACTTTTGTTAACGAAACACGTCGACGAGAGAATATCATCCCTGGAAAGATCATCAAGAATTATGAGAAGTAATTCGACCAGTAACTTACTCAAATAATCCGATATGATATTCTATTTGTGAACGGTGAGAAATGACTATATTTCGTTTTGAGAGAACATATATAAAGGAAACGAACCAATGACCATCGTGTTCGTTGTCTAATACACTTTTCTCGATCATTACATGAAAATGTATGGCAATGCCATTAACATCTTTATTTTCACTTTAACATAAACAATAAGTGGTGGCAACGTATATTACTTCACCAATCGACACCAATGACGGCATTTGATTCGGTCACTAAATATAAAGCAATTTTATCAAGATCTGAAAAAGAAAAACTAAGTTATGAACAGAAGGAATTCTCAAAATTGAGTTTAAAAAACACCCGACTGTGCGTGCTTTTTTTGCCAATCTATCTGCAAATTATTTTCTATCTGAGTAAATGCCTTTCACTATTCGCGGAAAAAATTTCATTGATTGTGCTTTTCGTTGATTTCTTTTTTTCAATGTGATGACTTGTTTAAAAGATAAAAACACTGATAAGACGTTTCTCTATTGACACACAAGAATTACACATGCAGCATCATGGCTAAAATATGTCTCTTACTCTTATGAAGAATTCCTCACAGAAAAAGAGTATGAAACAATTACCAAATGAATTAGGGATATGGATGGGTGGTTTTGATTAAAAAGGGAAAACTCACACTCATGCTTCGATAATGTATGATAACTAACAAACAAGATAGGCAATGGATAAACAAATAAGCTAAAAAACAAAAAAGTATTTGATCGTAGTTTTCGACGAAAGAACAAGATTATGTTCACCAAATTACCAAAATTATCGAACAATAGAATTAAAAGTAGTTTGATATTTTATCGCAAAAAGTCTCGCATGCATAATGAGTTAAACAATCATCTAAAAGTTTACTCTGGTCACTTGGTTATACATGACACGATGAGTTATGGAATTTGAAAGACAGTATATTACTGTTTAGAAAAACATTGCTTCAAAATCTAAAATTATTCTTTCATTTACAAAAATTGATATAAATAAATTCGAGAAGACAAAC